AGAGTGGGAGATGGACTAAGAATATTTAAAAGAGAGAGAAAGAGAGAGAAAGAGAGAGAGAGAGAGAGTGGAGAAGGACAGCTCTCCTGAGAATCACTCGGTGCAGCACAGCTTGTTGTTAAAGTCAGACGAATAGATCCTGCCTGTCAGAGGATACAAATGTCAGTCGCTGGTACAGGACAATCAACATAAAGTGGTCGACTCCCTTATGGAATAGTCTGCTGCACAAATGTCAACCTCACATCAGGACATTGGTTCAGTTATACTTGGAATACCTGGATATACTACATACACTTAAAAGGGATGTTACAGTAGCATTGATTTTATAGTACCAAGGTATAAAAATGATCTCCATTCAGTCCGAGCCACTTAATGCTAGTTTACTTTGTTATTTATTCTAGTTTCTAGTCCGCAAGAGCAGATTCATACTGTTTTGTATTTTACATGTTTGGTCTGACGACAGCCCTGTGTGGCCCGTGTGGCCATTTTGTGGCCCACGTTGTTATCCAGTTAGTCACGGCAAGAAATCCTGGCTGATTCTAAAACCAACTGCCACTCAGAGTTGTTGATCAGTGCTGGGCAGTGACGTGGCATCGACGCTTGTTCAGGGTTTAGGGTGTTTGCTTCCACCCATGAATTCAGATGGACTCTCCTGGTGTTCTAGTCCACTTGGGTTGCACTGCCTTTCAGTCATTAATGCAAGGGCGGAGGACGTAACTTCTGGTTACCATGGTTGCGCCAGCACAGATGTGACTGGTCTCTTTGTGGGCGTCTGTCACGGGTGGAATGGTCCCAGATGGCGAGCACTGATTTCATTAGCTGGGCTTCTTCCAAACGGCCCCAGGTTTGGGTTATTTTTCTCTCGTGGGGATTATCTCAGCTGACAGGGCAGCACATTTAGACAGATTTCCACAGGTACTGTCCCTTGTTAAGCGTGTCACACTGTTGCAGCCACACAAACACACACATTGCATTGTATCAGGTCAGTGTGGTCGGCCTTTAGTTGAAGGAGGCCCAGGATATTTACCAGGATGTTGACTGTAGTGCCCAGTCCTTATAAACCCTATCATTTCTCTAGTGATCAATCCTCTTATCATGGGCATTCTTAATCTCGAGTGAGTTCTTTGATTTGACCCATCAGAACCATCTGAAATGGTGGTAGCACCTACAACTACAGTGTTCCCTGTACATTGTTAATATACCCATAATTCTTGGCACTGCTCTTGGCACTACGTTTCAAGCACTATTTCCTACCACGGGAAAGTGTGCGCCTGTGAAACAGAGGCAGCAGAGATAGCGCCACTCTCTGTAGAGGTCATAAATACATACCTGTAACTGTGTTATCCAGGTATCACTGAGTAAAACTGCACTGAATCCTGGTCCAATATTTACCTTATTAATTATGAATTCGCCTTTTATCGCAAATCACGCCTAACCCTTTCTCGCAGCAGTGAAGCACAGTACAGCTGTGTTAAAGTCACTCAGCTCAGCTCTTTCTCACTCCTGTGGCTAGACACAGGTTTAATGAATAATGCAAAGAGACAGCCCTTCAATGGAAGCCGGGCTTCAGTGGAGGTCCAAGAGAGTGAGGTGTTGAAACCTGTTGTTTGGTGCAGTTTGGGGTATTTGTATGTACAGGGTTTCATCAGTTTACGACGTCCTCGACCTATGGCATCTAACCGTTATGTCTCCATTTCCCTGAAATTTATTAAGACTTTTTGTTCCATCATTCCATCACGATGCATCGTTCCATCTCCAACCAACACGTTGCTTCAGCATTTTAAGTCCAAGACTAAGAAAAAACAAATACAGTTTTCCTCAGTATTTATGTAGATGTAATGTAACCCCCCTGCCCCCCCACCACACACACACACACACATAGACACCCATCTCCTCTGTGTCAGCCGGTGCCAAAAACAACATATGGCGGTGACTCAAAGTTGAAAAGCACTTGGTTTGTATGACACGTTACACCGAGCTGCTGCTGCTGCTGCTGCTGCTGCTGCTGCTGCTGCTCCTCTTCATCTGCTGATTGTACCTCATAAAAAGCATAACTGCAGTACTTACTTTTTATTGCCAAAAATATGCAGTGAGCTCAGAATGCAGCCATCCGAGGGGCCTGTGCTCCCACTTCACTCTGTGGAACATTGTGTAATGTTCTACATCCACAAGCCAAACGCACTGTCCAAGTGTCAAGTGTCTTCAGAACGTCCCACGTTTTCTACTTCATCGTAGTAGGCAGGTTATGTCACTGCAGCGAAGGATGTTCGTTCACTTCATCCACTTTGCCGAGAATGGATATATAATCTTTCACTACACGTGCATTCCTCCTTTTTTCTCCTAACTAGGGATGTCCAATAATATCGGCCGACCAATTTTACCAGCCCAATATTAGCATATTATGTAATATCTGTAAGAATCGTTATCGTTTTTTTCTCCGTTAATGAAAACCCAATAACGCAATTTCTCCGTTAATGAAAACCCAATAACGCCATGCTTGGGTTTTTTGCCCAAAGATGTGTGCCCAAAAAATGGCTTTGGGGATAAACGGCTGTATATTAAAGTGAAAGTCACTAGATGGCAGCATTGCAGGTCAATTAAATAAACTCACACAGACATACAGTGGTTTGTAAGGACAAATAAATCAATATTACCAGGCCTAAATCGGTATCAGTTGATATCGGAATCAGAAATTAAGTTTTTGGACAATATCGGATATCTGAAAAAAGTTAATTTCGGACATCCCTGCTCCTAATGGTTAACCTTAGTTTTGCCAATTAAAAAATAGTCTAGGAACCCGAAACTCCTGTATGTGTGTGTGGCCGCAAGACCAAAATTTGACAATGGGACGCAGTTGGCCCCTGGACCAGACTTTGGACATAACTGCCTTCAGCCATCAGACACCCTTTAACTTTAACTCACCACACGAGTGAAGTGTAAAGTAACATTCTGAGAACTGAAGAGAGAGATTAATGCACTCTTCCTCTTACTGACATTCACTTGGGTAAAAAGCAGCACTAAAGTCCAACCAGCACAAACTAACGCAGTCATTTCTCAAATACGGCCTTGTAAAACATCTTCACAGCTCGCGCTCTCTTAATCATCCCCTGGGCAACATATTATCCTGATGAAGACAAAGCGTTGCCTTAAATAAATCCAAAGTCAAACAGAGCGGTGGAGAGACGCTGCGGTTAACCTCGGAGGTGTGACATTCATGAAGTCTCAGAGCTTCTTAAGCTGCAGTGGACACAGATTATTGTGTTTGGGTCCGTGACAGAGAATTTCTGCACTTAGTCAAGGAACATGGTGGGTGTTGAATAAAACTCTGGCGTCGTTCTAATTGTGTCAGTTTGGAAGAAACCTCTGAGGGATTCAAGAAGATTCAAGGAATGTATTTGATACATGTACAGAGTACAGTAAAATGTACGTTGTACCTGCTGAGTAAACAGTTTTAAGGCAGGAACACAGTGAAGCACCTCCCACTTTTTTTTTTACATCAAATACAAACAGTGAAAAAGAAAAACTGAGTTAAATATTCTGTATACATTATGGGAACAGTAAAACAAAATTGAAAAAAAAACTATATGTCAAATTATTTACATTCTGTTCAACAGTGACTCCTATATTCTTTATTATTTATATAACCCAAGTCCCAGGCTGCACAATAAGGTTGTTTGTGCTCATGCATAAAAACTCAAAGGTAACCTAAGGTAAACAGTTCTTTTAATCTGAGTTAAGGTGGGACTGTTTTTTTTATTGTACTTGAACTTGTTATTAGTAGTATTATTAGTAACGTTTTTTTCCCTGTTGTGCTGCATTTTCATTTGATAGAAAGGATTGTCCTGTAATCTGTAATAATAGCTGGAGTGTTCTTTTAGATGGGTTAATCACAGACAGGATTTACTGAGTACTGTGGGGGTGGGGGGAGTGGGTGAGGAGGGGGTGATAACAGGCTTCTTATTTGCCTACTCTAGTAGCATATATTGATCATACTGTGATGACAACCACACCCACCAAGGGCAGATTACTGGCTCACTATTGGACTACTTCAATCTGTTGTTAAAAAAAAAGGGTTTTGAAATGATCAGCTCAACGTGTGCAGAGTGAGTCCATGACCAGGGAGGGGACTTTGGCATGTCTTTGATCTGGCCAACTCACTGACACAGGTGTGATTCTTCCCCAATAGAGAGGATGTAGCTGACGTCGGGCTGTGAACAAATGAATTCACTTCGTGCAGAGTGTGCCAAATCGTAACAACCACAAAATACAAACCCCAATAACAACATGGTCCAGATAAATATTTATAGGATCCCACTGTGGCTAGAGTCTCTAACATTAACATAAACTCCACCACAAAAATGTAAAATAAAACAGGGGGAGTCGCAGTCAGACATATCAGCTAGCATAGTCACATTTCTGTGTTTTTGTCAAAATAATTTAGGTGTTCTTTATATAACAGAGAGAGAGAGAGAGAGAGAGAGAGACTAGCTTGTATTCGCTCACCCATCCAAATAATTGCCATCAGGTGTTTCAGTCACTTCCATGAGCACAGATATGAAGACTGTTCCTACAAACATCTGTGAAAATAATTCTATTTTAGAATCCACTATAATTGTCATTTCTTTTCTACAGGGTTAAGACCTTGTTTTGGTGTAAAGGTTCACAGGGTTTTGTTCAGATTGTCAATAGTTTTCCATGCAGTATCGTGCTGACCTTGGTTCCTTGTTCTTCATCTGTTTTTGTACCAGGACGTGACACCTGTCCACTCCTCTCCATCCAAAAGGGTGACGTCCAGCTCCCTCACCCAGGCTAACCAGGCCACAGATCCCATCATGGACTCACCCCAGGACAACAATCTCAGTGAGTGCTTTTGCCGTATCAGATATATGTAGCTAAAAGTAAAGTATTGAAGAAAAAAGCATTGAAAAATAGCTAAATGTAATGAAAATGCTGAGGTTTTGAAAAGGGATATAAAGGATTCCAAACACGAGGCATCAACAAATCAAGGTCAAACTGGCTAAAATTTTAGCCAAAAGATAACAACAGTATCACCTTAAAGGTTCTTGAACTGAACCTCCTGTCTCATCAACCTTTCTGTCAGTAAGGGGCCTCAGAAGTGATCCCTGATGTTACCCCACCCCTACCTTGAACCCATCTGTCTCCTTGACTGCTGAGCTTAGCCTTTCCTAACCCTAAGCCTTTTTCTTGTGTCCATGGTTACCCTACATACCACTGATGCTGCTTAGCTACAACTTCCCTCTACAGCTAATTATGAGTTCCAACCACTTCCAGATAATTTTTCCCATGATTCTTTTAATTATATTATTATTCTGTCCTCTTTGAGTCCATAACCACCTGCACTCTCACACCATGTCCACTGATGTCCAGTCCACTCCCCCTTCTGGTGATGTCTTCTCTGACATCTAACTTGTGGTTGTATGTACAGACATCATTTTGAAGCACACGCTCAACTTCTACCATCGAGCTCATCACGCTAATCATGCCCAAAACACTATTTAATGTTTAATTTTTATATGATAATCTGTGCTTCATTCATTCCTCTTCCTGTCTGTACTGTGGTAAAACATAGTTAAAAAAAGAAAAAAACAACCCCAGAATAGCTCAAATTAGCCCAAAGTATCCTTAATAATTAATAATTATTCAGTACATCTAATTATGGCATAGGAAGATCCAAAGGTTGACCACAAAACATTGTTTTTTAACATGTTATAAGACAATAAAGCAGTTGAGGGAGAAAGTTCATCCAAATATGTATTAAAGAATAAACCATAATAAAATCATTGAAGAAAACAAGTGGAACAAACAGCAAAACAATGCTGTAGCTCGAAAGTACAAGACAACCTCCAGCTCCCCTCACATTCCTAAAAGATGAAACTGTAATACCATGAATGACTGTCAACAACGCAAAATAAACAGAACAAAATAACACACAGTTATTAAAAGCAAAGAGCTTAAAAATAGCTTTTCTTACAATTTTTTTTTTTTTTAGAACCAAATGCTGCAGGCCCCATCAGTCACTGACTGTGGAGCAGAGCTGCACTACAGCTAATGCACTGTTTTGGCCCCGTTTGTTCTCTGTGAAAACTGTGTGGTAGGAGAGAACTTTCAAAAAGCTGGGCTGTACTTTAGCCTGATAAGACTGCTGCCTCCCTGGCAGCTTCTTTAAATGGGAGCTCTGGGACTGCACGCTTCTCTCCTCTTCCATTACTGAGATAATGTTTACATCCAGTTTCTGTGACCAGCTCAGATGCTGATAACAGCGTACACACTAGATGGAGCACAACTCAAGGTACAGCACATTGTTTCTCAGGTATCCTGACGCACGGACCCGACGGTCAACGACATCAGGCTGCTAATAACCAGCTGTAATAACTCTGTACTGCTTGTACTATCATCAGACGACACATGTATCTAAGCCTTCCAGTATTTGGAATATTTAAATATCCATGTACGATATATTTTGGACGAATGGTGATAAGGGTTAACAGGCTATCCCTCCACGCTTTGTCAAGTTGTTATATCGCAAATTCTTGCCAAATCAAACAGACCCCATAAATTCAATGCGCTCTCTGTTATAATATGTCACTTCCTGCTTTGCCACTAAGCAATTTCCTGCGTGTTAACGAGCAGAATTACAGTCCGAGAGGCTGCAAAGTGCTCCCCCAAGACCCGTGGTGAAGGCGTGGAGAAACGGTTCTGCCTCGTATGCAATGTCATGGTTGAACACCAGTGGGAATCGTCTGTTGAGAAACAACTGGCCTCAGCTAATTACATCTGAATATTATCAGAACAGCAGCAACAGTTGAGACAAATAACTGTCACAGAGGAGGTCACACCCTGAACTGTTGACAACGCAGAAAGAGAAGATTTAGTTTGTTTTTTTAATGACTTTCAAGTCCTCACTATGCTGCATACTAACGTTTCAAATGACTTGGGTGTTATTAAGTATATTAGGTAGTATTCTGTTTCGTATAATGGAACAAGGAAGCAGACAGCACCAGGATGCAGCAGTCGAACAGTTTACTAACAGTCCAAACTGTTGGCAGGAACAGGAAACACTCATTAGGAGGAAATTACCATTAGCATCAACATGAGCATGGACACCATAGGACAGGGGTGTCAAACTGACATTCACACTGGGCCAAAATTAAATATATATTTATTGAAAAAATGACTGTAATGGTGTCCCTTCTCTCCAGAAAAACAACCAAAGCTTAATATTATAAACACGTGAGAAATTCAATTGGAAATAAAACACACATCAGTGGTATTTGTTTCTTATTATGTCTCTATCTGTAGCCTTTATAATATAATGGCAGGCCAACTCTAATACACGTTTGATATGATCTCGGGCCAAATATAATTACACCAGGGGCCAGATTTGGTCCACGGGCCTGAGTTTGACACCTGTGCCATAGGACAAACCATGACCACCGTACACTAAACTGAACACAAAGCAGCTCAGAACTATGAGCCAATGAAGACTGAGTGAAGGAGGGAGGTCTGTATACACCAGGCCACCAGGTGGCACCAGTGAGGCTGGGGTGAGTGTGATGACACTGAATAAGTAAGAAAAACAGAGTGGAGTGAAGGAGACAGACGGAGCTGACATATTCAGGTGAATGTAAAATCACCCATGAAAACAACAGTAAATATAAAGTCAGTGCCAGTGAAACCAGGAGACAACAGGCTCCATTCTTTTATTGGAGAGTTCATGGTGTGAGTTTCAAACAGATGTAGACTGAGATGAAGCAGGCTGAATCAGACTAATGTGAAACAATGACATTTCCTGCCCTTGCCATTTGGAAAATGAATCGATATCCATGAAATCTCCAGAGGAAGGGACTTCTGCGCCCTCTGGCATTTACAGCTGAGCAGGAAATACACGAAGTGGGGAATTAAAGGACAATTTTCCAGCAAACAGACAAACACATTTGACATTAGAGCTTTAATTAAAGAAGAGAACAATGACACACTATTTCATTTCAATCACAGACTGAATAAAAAGGTTGGCATGGTTTAGATGCAGCAGGTTATTCTAAGTCCTGAGCCTGGGCCACACTGTTGGAGCAGACGTCTGGACCAGGAGACAGTTTGGTTCTAAGTCTGTGGGGACCACCAGAACCTTGTACTCCCCCCTCCCTGTAGCCCCGGTGAAAGTGTGTGTGTATGAATCAGCCTGAATTGGCCTACGCCTAGACTCTTGATCAGTTCTAACCATAACTTCTCAGACTTTGTCTAGACCATACATGTCAAACTCAAGGCCTGAGGGCCAAAGGTGGCCATCAAGCTGTTTTGTGTGGCCAGCGGGGGCTTAAAAAGCATTTAGTTTTTCATTACACAGACATGAACAATAGTGTTTAGTGTCGATGAATAGTAATCAACTGCAGAAACATGTACTGGTCTGTTATGGAGTAGTTACATCTGTACCAGCTGTCCCCAACCTTTTTGGTTCCAAGGACTGGTCAGCCAGTACCAATCGTTACTACACACCTGTAGCAAGGTGCTGAGCAATACATTTTCAAAATAAAACATCTTTTAGACTCTGTAGACTCCCTGGCCCAGTACCAAATGACCTATGGACTGGTACTGGTCCACGGAAAAAAAGATTCTCTGGCAACAGATGTATTTAATGTGAAGTCCATTAAATCTGAACGCTACGACTTTGACCCTGAGAAGACCTAAAAGGAGTTTATTGTGTTTAATGCACATGTACAAACACACACACACGCACACACACACAAAACTAGTTAGTGAATGTAGTGAATATATGTCCATGCAGACAGCGGCTTTGGTGTGTCTAAAAGCGGAGCTCACAGACAATCCACATCATTCCTCTTATCCCGGTCTGAGTGACGGCTCTTGTCTTTGCTGACAAGTTGTTGGCACCACTGCTGCATCGTCTGTCAGGCCACATGACTGAAGGACGGCTCTGGCCGAGCCTGCCAAAGTCACACACTTTAAATAAAGCACTGCATGTGTATGTGTGTAAGTGTTGTCTGATCAGATGTAAAGTTCACGGCTAAACCCTGCTGGTTGTGCTGGCCCTGTACAGTATCTACCCCCCTGTAGCTAGTTCTCTCACCCATGAAGAGTTGTAGTTTGCAGTAAGGAAACTCTTTGGTTATTTAATGTCCTCGTTAGTTAGCACAGCAGAACCACCAATCAGAACATTGTCATGTAAGGCATGTTATCTTAAAGGTAAATTAGCGTTAGCAGTGTCCTTAGTTAACTAAGTAACTCAAACAGACAGACAACATAAGAACAAAGTGAACATTCTGTAATAAAGAAATGTTGAAATGATTACAGAGAGCAGAGAATAGAACACAATAAAGGAGTAGGAGTAGGACTGAACAGTGGATGTTGGAGGGTTAGTAGGTTAGTAGTACTAGATGGATTAGTATTAGTAAAAGGTATATTAGTAGTAGTAGTGCTAGTAGATTAGTAAATGATTATTGTTGTCGTCGTCTGTGGTGTTTATTGCAATCTCAATGATTCAATTAAATTAAAATTATGCATCAAGTATACTACATTACCTCTGTGGTATTTATATGTACACTATATAGAAGAGACATAAGTACAATTATAAATATAAAAGTTGTAATGTCAACAAGTATAGAAATACTAGTTCAATAATGCAATTCAAAGTAAACAGTGTATGATGTGGATTACAGCCACATTAACACAATGAATATTTCTAGGAGTTACTATGCAAACAATTAGATAGCATATATACACATATACATACAGTACATATATACATATATACATGTACATGTGTATATACACACACACACAGATACAGTATACAGTATGTACACACCTACACACTTACATAT